AGGGCAATGGGGAGCCATAGAAGGTGCTAGAGCAAAGCGGGGCAAGGGCAGATCTGTGTTTTGGAACGTGCCTTTCAGTGCCCTCCATAAACAGTTTTGTTTTTTTAAGATTTTAGTTTTAAGTTATCTCTGTACCCAACCTGGAGCTTGAACTCACAACCCCAAGATCAAGAGGCACACACTGTGGGCACCTGGGTGGCTCAGTCGGTTAAGCACCCAGTTTTGGCTCAGGTCGTGATCTCGTGATTCGTGGGTTCAAGCCCCACATCAGGCTCTGTCTGCCTGGAGCCTACACTGGATTCTGTGTCTCCCTCCCTCTCTAACCCTCCCCTGCTCACTCTCTGTCTCTCTTAAAAATAAACATAAAAGAAAAAAAAAATACAAAAAAGCCACACGTCTACGGGCGGAGCCAGCCAGGCGCTCCCCCACAGTCTTCGTTACCGTGTGTGCAGACGACACTGTGTGCAAAACACACGCCATTGGAACCACAGGAGTCAGTGGAAGGAGAAGGGCCGACCGCAGACACGAGACACAGAGGCAGCCTCACCTCCTGCAGCCCCCGCGCCCCGACTCCGAGTCTGGCAGACGACGTTCAAGACACCAGGTAGAGCCTCGTGGGCACGGAGGACCCCACTGAAAGCCACCTCCGGGGCGACCCCAGCACCTCACGCCCAAGCACACGCTCGCTGCCTAAGACAACTTGGAGGGGGGGGGGGTGGCTTCAGGAAGCCAGGGAAGCCAGCCATGGGGGGCGGGGGGCACAGGCACACCCCTTCCCGAGAAGGTCCTTCCCCACACCTGCACCTGTCCCGGCCCCGCAAAGCCCAGGTGCCCCGGACGTGCTGCCAGCCGGACCAGGGGACCCTGCACTGTCTCCTCACCTGGGGCTCCACCCAGAGTGGGTCTTACTGTCCTCACAACCATCACAATACGCCGAGGACATCGGACCCCCGCCAGCTACCCCGCAGGCCCCGTCGTGGCCCCATTTCACAGAAGAGACACCTGAGCTCAGAGGAGGAGGCCCAGCAGGGGAAGGGCCCAGACTCAACCCACATCCTCTCTCGCAGGTGCCCAAAGCGGGTAGAAGGGCGCCCCTGCCCCGGGCCCAACCTCCCTCAGGACGCAGCCTGGCTCGGCCCCGCCCAGGCCCCCGGCCTCCAAGGAAGCAGAGGGATCAGGATCGAGAGGAACCAGGAACTGAGATTAGAGAGTTTCCCCAGGAAACAGCTCCGGCCCCCGCCTGGACCAGATAACCCTGGGGGGCTCCCACCTCCCGACCAGCAGGGCCAGGCCTCCGCTGCCGGGAAAGTCGGATCCCAGCTCCCGCCCCTCCTTGGCTGGAAGAGCCGGGGGTCAGGGCCCGACGAGGGGCCTCTGTCTCCTCATCTGTAAAGCGGGCGCCTGGGGGAGCGGGTCAGAGCACTTGGCACGGTCCTGGCACTGCGGTTTCTGGGAGGAGCGGGCAGGGCCACGGGCTGCGCACGAGGTGCCAGGGACAAACAGGAAGCGGATGAAAATAACTCGGCAGGAAGCTGGGCCGTCAGCGCCGCACGCAGGAGAAAACAGAACTGCCATCCCGCAGGCCACTGGCTCCCCCTCGTCCCCCCGAATCTGTCCCCGGCCAGACCTCAGCCCACCTCCAGTCCACGCGGGTTCCAGCCTGCAGGGTGGACCTTGTCCAGCCCCGGCTCTGACACTTCCTGTGGTCCCCCATTGCCCGCAGGATCACATCTGGGGTCCTTCACCACACGCTTCACACACCCCGAAACCTGTTCCCCTAAGCACATCTCCATCTTGGGTCTGAGCTTGCACACGTGACGTTCCCTCTGCCCCGGTGCCTTTCTCTCCTGGTGGCCACCCAACTCCTACACACCCCTCGGAGCCCTAGCTGCGGTGGCATCGCCTTCTGAGCCTCGCTGACCCCCCACCCAGGCCCCGGGGCCCCTGCTGCTTCTCACCCTCATGCAGAACGCACTCCTTGAGCTTCTCCAAGCCTTCGGCAAAGCGGCCCACGTCGGCCAGCAGGTGGGAGATGTCCTCCACGGTGTCGGGGCACGGCCCCTCGGGGGGCAGCTCGGCGGGGCTGGTGGTGGTCAGAGGGCTGCGGTGGCCCCGGCCTAGCGTCCAGGTGCTGGATCCGGACAGCGGGAAGCCAGCGGCGCTGGCATGGCGGCTCAGGCTGGTGGGCCGCTTGAGTGTACCCGTGGCCTTGGCATTTGAGGCTGCGCCTGGTGGCTCCAGGCTGGGTCCGAGGGACACATCAGCCCCGTCTTTCCTGGGCAGCTCCTGGGAGGGCGGGGGAGGAGGGTGACGCAGGTGCTCCGGCCCGGGCACCGCCTCAGTTTCCCCAGAAGCACAGCGGGGCTCCGGAGGGTCTTCGGCCTGACCCCACGGGGATCAGAGGCCAGAGGTCAGAGGGCTGAGATTTGGTGCCCTGCCCCGCCCACACCTGTTACCCAACATCCTCTTCCCCAGCTCTTTCACAAACAACCGTCTTTGCCCAAACCACAGCCAGGGGTGGGGCCTGCGAGGGCGTGGGGGAGGGGCACCCCACTTCCTGGTGGGGCAGGGAGGGGCTGGGAGGGGGTCCTCAGCCCCTGCAGCCCCCTCTGGCTGCTGCACACACACCTCCTCCCTGGTGGAGATACCTCTGTCGATTCCTGTAGACCCCCAAGCCCCACGGACACGCCCAGGCCTCGTAGAGTATCCCCAAACTTCGTGGCTCTCCAGACCCGAGAGAGGCACCCCCCGGATCCTGTGTTGTGCTCTGCACCTCTAACCCTCGGGCCCAGTGGTTGTGCTATGGCTCTCAAACCCCGACGGCACCACTGCCCCCAGGTTCCCTGACCACCGCCCTGCGGAGCCCCAGGCCCAATGCCGCCCCGACCCGGGCACCCTCCCACCTACTCCCCGGGCCCCACGGCCGGCCCTGGTCCAAGCAGAGGGATGTGGGGGTCGACCCAAAGCGCTCCTACCGTGAGCTGAACACCAGGGTCCCGGCCTTTCCTGCGTGGCCCATGCAGTCCAGCCCGGTGGGGGCTGTAGCTGGCGTGAGTCCCCCGCCTGCCCAGCATGGAGCTGCTGGGCCCCCAGCACAAGGCGCGCGCCCCTGGGACCCTGCCGCCTGGGGGTTACTCCAAGGCCCCCGCCCGCTCTGCGCTCCCCAGAGAGGCTCACTCACCCCCAAGGGCTGTGGGCTGGGGCTTCCCGCCCGGTTCTTTTTGGAGATGGAAGGGGTTTTCATAAGCTCCCGCTTCTTCCTGGAGAACATGGTGGGACCTGGGCCCAGTGGCCCAAGACAGGAGGGCCGGGGTCACGCAGGCTGGGGGTCTCAACGCTGCAGCTCTCCCTCCTGGCTGCCTCGGGGCCACATTGCCGCCGGCCACCCCCTCCCCAGCTGTCAGGCCCACGTGACAGGCCCAGCCCTCATTGGCGGGCCCTCCCCCCCCCCCCCCCCCCCCGACAGGAAAAGGCCTCCGGAGGCGGTGAGTGACAGAGACGCAGACCTGCCCCCCACCCTCCCTGGCCTCAGCCTGGCCCTCCTCACAGTGGGCTTGAAGGTGGGGTCCCGGGTGCCACCCCCAGCTTCCGCTTTCGGGAGCTCTGCGCATGTGCCGGCCAGGGTGCCTGCGCCCTGCACTGATGCCCCGGTGCGTGGCGAGGGCACACGCAGACGCCCAGGCGCGGCCAGGAGTACGCACACACGCGTGCACAAGGACATGTGCTCGGACGTCATGAAGCCCGCACGTGGAACGGACAAGCCAGGGCTTCCCTCTCAGACCCTGACCTTGGACACACGCTATCCAGGCCGCCCGTTCTCCCTCCTCTGGCCGCCGGGCAGCACAGAGCACAGCAGGCCACCGTCCCCAGCCCTATTCCCACAGTCCGGGGACACACACAGACCATCACACTTATCAAGCAGCAGCGCTGACGAGGCGTCTTTGGAAACAAGCCTGAGGCTACCCAGCCGGGAGACCAGCCACGTGTAGGGACCCCTGGCTTCTTCCCCCCTCCCCAGACCCCCGCTCCCCTCCTCCAACCACCTCTTCTCTTGAAGACCCCTCACCAGTCAGAGGCTTCTCCCCTCCCCCATTCTTCTCACTTCTGGAGTCCCACCCCATCCCCAAACCCCAACAACCCCTTTTCCCTCCCCAACACTGACCCCACTGACCTCTGGTGGGAGGGGCAGGTCTACAGGGCAAAGGGCCCGAAGACCACAGCCTCTGGTGCCAAACCCGCCTCTCCAGCCCCGGGTCCATCCACACTCCCAGCTGGGAAGCCCCTTGAGGATCCTAGCACCCATTGCTCTGGGGCCTAGTTTCAGGGGTGAGGGCTGGCTGGCAGACTTCGGGCCTAGTTTCAGGGGTGAGGGCTGGCTGGCAGACTTCGGGCCTGGTCAGGACACCTGAGGTCTGGGCCACCCCCAATGGGCTTTTCCAAGTCTTCTGGAACATTCCCTAGCCTTAACCTCCTCCTCCTCCTCCCCACCAGGCTCTCCTAGGTACTGCCCTCAGCCGCCAGGCCCACATGGGCAAGTGGGGGCCAGTGACCAGTGTCCAGGCTCTATGGAAGGCCACCCTTGCATGTGAGATCCCCCGTCCCCAGTCCAGCAGAGGCCCCCAGAGCTGGGGGTCCAGTCGGCCACAGCCAGACTCTCACATGTACCCTACAAAATTGCACCAGTGTCGGGGGACACGTGGGGGACACGTGGGGGACACGTGGGGGACACGTGGGGGACACTCGGGGAACAGGGGCCAGTGTCCAAACGCATATGGAGAGCCGTGTTTGGACTGACCTGCAGCCTGTACGTGCGCGCGCGCGCGCGGTTTCACCCCATGAGTTCTCTATTTCCTCCAGGGCGATGGATCCTCTGAGAGCCTGCGACTGGGCTGCCGGAGTCTCCCAGCAACCCCACACAGGAGGTGCTAGGGTCCTCGAGGAGCCCAGTGAGGAGTCGGGGTGCTGTGGGCGTGGCACGAGGCCTGCCCCACTCCCGCCTCCTACCCGTCCCCCTCCTCTTCCCCCTGGTTCTTGGAGAAGTACAGGAGCACCTGGGGGAGGGCGGCCGGAGGGGCGGTCAGCCCCCCCCGGCCCGGTCCCCAGCCCCACTTATCCTCAGCCCCGTCCAGGCGCCGGGGGCGCCCGCGCCAACGTGGTCTGGCTCCCTGAGAAGTGCACGCCGCGTTCCGAAGACGCGAGCCAGGGCGCAGCGCCCTCCCGGCGGCACCTGGAAGCGCGGGCGGCCCCCGGGAACGCGGCCGCCTCGAAGGCCTCCGCCAACTCGGACCGCGCTGCGGGCCCCGCAGGGTCAGCGTGTGGCCGGCGCCAAACCCGGATGGGTGGGTGGGTGGGCGGGGCCTGGAGGGGGGGCTGCTGGACACGCCCGAGGCCCGCCCACACCACCCTCCCCCTCACTCTGGCCCTGCCCCCCGAGACCTGGCCCCTCCGGACGCCCCCCTCCTCCCGCCGGGCCTCGCCCGCCTGTGGGCCCATCCCTTCCCTAGCCCCGCCCCCTCGGGCAGCGCCCGCTCCAGGCCCCGCCCTCTTCCCCTCCCGGGCCCGCCCCTTCCCCGGACCCACCCTCGGCCCCGCCGCCAGCCCTCGAGCCTCGCCTCCGCTCAGGGTAGAGCCAGGTGGGCGTCGCGTGGCAGTGTCTGCGCTCTTGTGGCCCCGCTCACCTGCTCTCGAGGGGCTGCGCGCCGCCCGGACAGCGGACCCGCCCGTCACCGTGATGGCCGGGCGCGTGCAGAGCGCCACACACTCTCCCTTGCAGCCCGGGGCCCGGCGCCGTCAGCTCCCGCCAGGCTGGGGCCACCTGGGGCCACCTGGGGCCACCTGGGGCCACCTGGGCCCGCCCACCCCCCCGCCTCTCCCCCCCCCCCCCCAGCCCAGCCCGCTCGGGCCCTCGGGACCGGGCATCACCGTCCCCGGCGTGCCCTCCTCCCAAAGGTCGGGGCCGCTCCAGCTCTGACGGCCTCCCGCTGGGGCCTGGCCCACCTTGACCCTGGGCCGCGGGCGCTGGGGACCCACCTGTGTGCGGTAAGCACCACGGAGCGGCCCTCCCGCGCCACGGCCGGGAGGGGGCTACTCCAGAGAAAGCGCCGGGAGCGGGGTCCGTGCCCGTGGTGGACTCGTCCTCGGGGCTTCAGGGGGCGATGCCCTCATCAGCCGAGCCCGAGCCCTCTCCCCCAGGCCCGCCCCCACGCACCAGAAAGACCACAGCCGGGTCCCCCACCAGCGCCACGGCTGTCGCCAGCTTCCTCTTGTTGCCTCCGCTGTAGGTGCCCGCAGGTGGGTCCGAAACTGCAGGAGCCCCACGCGCGCCGCCGGGCCCAAGCTCGCTGTCTGTGGGGCGGCACGGGAGGCAGGCAGGGCCGGGGGGGGGGCGCGGGGCGTGGCCGCCCGCGCGGCGCGGGGGCGCCCCCACAGCGGGGGGCCGGCCACGGGAGGGGGACTAGGGTAAAAATGGGGGAAGGTAGAGAGTGGAGCCAGGGTGAAAGAGGGGGGATGTGACCTGGCCAGGAAGCCCTCAGTGGGCGGTGGGGTCATGGCCGGGGGAAAGTCAGGTGCGGTAGGAAGGGGGCAGGTACAGAGCACAGGAGCTGGGGGGGGGGGGGGGGGCGAGTGGAGAGAGGCGGACCCTGACTCGGGGCAGGGCCAAGGGAGCCAGGGTAGGGCTGTGATCCTGGAAGGAGGGAGGGGGAGGTCACCTGGGGAACCTGAGCTTCGGGTGAAGAGTTCCAGGTGCTGGTGGCCGGCCAGCAGCTCGAAGACAGCGTCCGACTGAGGGCATTAGCCCCTGTGGCGGTGCGCGGCGGAAGGTTCCCGGCCATGCTGGCAATGGGGGATGGGGCACAGGGGGCTCAGGGAATTGGCTAGGCCCTGGCCACTCGCGGGAGGGGGGGGCAAACAGGGGCCTCAAGGCTCACCCACCCTGGAGCACCATGGTAAGAGACGGGTGGGGGGGCGTCTCAGGGCCCGGTCCACATGCAGGGGTGTGGGCGGTCGTGCCTGGGAGAGCGCCGCGTGGGGACGCACGCAGGCTTGGGGGCCCGAGCCCGCTCACCTGTAGCCAGCCGGCACAGCCTCACCACCACCGGCAGCGCGTCCCCCGCCAGCTTGCGAAATGTGGACGTCTTCCCTGCTCCGTTCACTCCCACGGGCCCGAAACACCGCGGGTGCCCCGCAGACGGCACTCGGCAAGGTCTCAGATCCCTGCCCCACTGTCCCTAATTCCGGGGTGGGGTTCCAAGTTTCTGCAGGACGGCCGTGGCAAGGGGGCTCCCCGGGGGCAGATCCCGAGGGCGAGCAGATGAACATAATGCTGTCACTTAGCCGGGAACGGTTGGTGGCACGCGGGATGAATTTAAACAATTCCGGCGGCGGCAGGTGCCCTGTCAAGCGCTCCGTAAATAGCGGAACGGCTCCCGACAGACAGACACCCAGCGAGTGCGGAACGACTGCGACCGACACCGACGCTCCACGCTGGCTTCCAGCCGCGTCCGCCCCCCGCGCGTGACCGATACGTAGCACTCAGCACGTGGGCTTGCACAAGCAGCTGCGTGGATGTGAACTGGTGCAAAGCGCGTGCTCGATAAATGCCGGCTGTGAGCACTACTCGGGTCACACACACACACACACACACACACACACACACACACACACCTCAGACTCAGCAGTACCACTCGCTCTCGAACGTAGTAGGTGTTCGATTAACGTCGCGGCCACGTGTGTGGGCACCCCACCCCATAGGTGCTCAATAATCATCGGCTTGGTCTCCGTAGGGCCCAAGACCTTACTACACACAGTAGGACTCGGTAAGCAAAAGCATGCAGTAGGAGCTTAACGAGCGTTTGCTGGCCCGAAACAGGGGCTCAAGCGTTGGCAGTCAGTAGTTGCTCAGCACGCGGGCACCTATGCTCAGTTGTTCAGTAAAGGGCAGTGGGCGCACAGTAGGGCAGCCCCTCACTGCCCCTGCCTCAGGACCTTCACCCTGGACTCTCAGCTCACCAGGGGGGATCGACAGCTGGCGTCCCTCTGCCCACGGCACGCCTGGGAGGTGTTCAGGTCCCTGAGAGGGTGGGTGGGCCACCGGGAGCCCCCAACCCAGCACTGCGCCCACCTCGGTCAGGTCTCTCGACACCAGCACGTCCCCCTCGGTGGCCCCTCGGGCCACCCGCTCCTGACACGGGCCACCTCCTCATCCTCCTGCCCCGGGGTGGGGGGGGGCAGCGACCTCAGCTGGGGTCTGAGGACGGGAGAGAGATCAGTGGGCCCAGAGCCAGCCCCGGACCCTCCCACCCTTACCCAGCCCCCACTGACCGTGGCAGCAGGTGGTCGCCAAGAGCATGAGGAGGAGGAGGAGGGGCCCCTGTACCACCACAGCCAAGAGGTTCTTACCAACCTCCTCCCAGTGCAGGGGGGGCTGGAACTGCCCGTCTCCTGTGTTGACAGGAAGGAGGAATGGGGTCACGGGGGAGGTGCTTGGTTTCTGGGCCCATCCCCACCCAGGTCACCTCGGGCTTTTAAGGGAAAAGACAGAGAACTGAATGGGCCACTCAACTGAGGTCTGACTGGTACAGGCCACAGTGGTATTACCATCTCCTTTGTTAGGACCTCTTGTGATATGACCCAGGACGTAAGTAGCTTTTACGACTACTTTGCCGTATCTCTAACTTGGCCCAAACTTGGGGCCACCTAACCCTCTAGTTCCCTTCCTGGGAGCTGCTGTTTGTCCCTACCCTGCGTTATCGACTTGGGTGGCACTCCCCCACCTCGAGGGAAGTTCTCACCTAAGCGCTCGAAGGCGTCAGCCACGGCCTGGTCTCACGCCATGTCCACACGCCCCCGGCCCAGGCAGAAGTGGGGGAACACCAGGAAGACCCTTTTTCCGGATGTGGCTCATTTCCTGCAGCTTCTGCTCAGGGACAGGAAGAGGGACGTGCGTCCGGAGCTGAGGCCCAGACTTGCAGAGCGCCACCCGACCAGAGAAGTGTTGGAGCACGAAGGTGGCCGTGCCGCCGTTGATGCCAACGAAGAGGTTGACACAGGTGAGCACCACACAGGCTGTGCTGGGCACATGACTGGCGTGATCGACCAGCTGAGGGGGCAACAGGGGTCACCAGGTAACCACCCAGACAGCAGGCTGAGTAGCCCTAAGAGGGAGTCCTCTGTATCCAGTCGGTTAAGGGTCTAAGTCTTGTTTTGGGCTCAGATCACGACCCCGGGGTCGCATGGGGCTCTGCGCTGGGTGCGGAGCTTGCTTTAGATTCTCTCCCTCTCCCTCTGCTTGCGCCCTCTCGCTGTAAAATAAAATTCTTTAAAAAACTTTTAGGGGCGCCTGGGTGGCGCAGTCGGTTAAGCGTCCGACTTCAGCCAGGTCACGATCTCGTGGTCCGTGAGTTCGAGCCCCGCGTCGGGCTCTGGGCTGATGGCTCGGAGCCTGGAGCCTGTTTCCGATTCTGTGTCTCCCTCTCTCTCTGCCCCTCCCCCATTCATGCTCTGTCTCTCTCTGTCCCAAAAATAAATAAACGTTGAAAAAAAAAATTAAAAAAATAAAAAACTTTTAAAAATTAGAAACAAAAGACAAAAGAGTTGTTTTGTTTGTTTGTTTTAAAGTCAACTCTACCCTTGGGACACCTGGGTGGCTCAGTCAGTTGAGCGTCCGGCTTCGGCTCAGGTCACGATCTCGCAGTTCGTGGGTTTGAGCCCCGCGTCGGGCTCTGTGCTGACAGCTCGGAGCCTGGAGCCTGCTTCGGATTGTGTGTGTGTGTGTGTGTGTGTGTGTGTGTGTGTGTGTGTGTGTCTGCTCCTCCCCTGCTTGTGCTCTCTCGAAAATGAATAAACATTAAAAAAAATTTTAAAGTAATCTCTACCCTCAACGTGGGGCTTGAACTCACGACCCCAAGGTCAAGAGTCGCACACACTACCCCCTGAGCCAGCCAGGTGCCCCAGGACAGGATGAGCTTTTAAGGCCACCTCAGCATGTCCTTAAATTAGATTCCACTTGGGACCACCTCGGATCTCTTCTGTCCTCGGGAGCTGGGACAGAGCCCTGGCTCCCTCGATGGCATCAGGCGTCGGGGTAGGGCGGCAAGAACGGGCTCCGAGGGGGGCGGAGGCCTCACCCGCAGAGCAGTAACAGCAGCAGGAGGGCAGGTGGGTTGGCGGGAGCCGCGTACGCCCTCTGCTGGAAAGCCGGAAAGGTGAGCGCCGCCACGCACGCTGGCACCAGGTAGTTCCAACTGCGTTGGAGGCGGAGTTACGCCCATCAGTTTGCAGGTCCCCTGGGCCCCATCCCAACCCCCCGCGTTTCAGGTGGCCAGAGGCGCAGTCTCCCAGATCCCCAGACTTCACCCAGACCGTCCCGACAAGCGCCTGGCGGGAAGGGGCAGCGGTGAGAGGCAGCCGGACCTCCCCCCCCAACAGCACTCCCCGCACCACGTCCCAGAGAAAGTTGCTGAGCCAGTGAAGAGTGGGAGGCGGGCCCCCCATAAACTGCAGAGGCCCGACTCCTCGATGAGAACAAGGGTGACGCTGGCTGGGACGAAAGACACGGTGAAGACCGCGCAGGTGGAGACGGGCACGTCCACCGAGGCGGCCGTCCTGCGGGCAAGGGCGCACGGGCGCCTCAGAGGACACCTCGGCCCACGCCGACGGGACAAGGATCCACGCACTGGTCACCAGGCGGGGAGACGAGCAGGGCCGTGTGGGGCCGGTGGGGGCTGGGCTGCCGGCCGGGCAGACGCGCAGACCGCGAGGTGGGGTCCCAGCGGACGCGGGGAGGATGCGTGGGCTGCCGGGGGAGCCTGACAACGTCCCGCTGTCCGGGCCTGGCGAGCACAGAGCCGCAGCCACTGTACGCGTACTCAGCAGGGGCGTGGCAGAGCGCAGAAAGGCCGAGGTGGGGGGCGGGGCATGGGGACTCAGCACAGCCTCGGACAGCTGCTCCTTGGTGAGGTTCAGGGGGTGGCTGAGCGTGGTGATGCTGTGGGCGTGGCGGGCAGGGCCTGGGGGCAGGTGGGCACGTAGGAGCGCGTTGTTGGCCCTGCCGATGAAGGCCACCACGGCGTGCCGGCCCGTTGTTGAACCAGATCCGGGGTGGGGGTGGGGGTGGGGGGGGTCGAGGCCGAGGGGTCAGAGCGCCGCGGTGAGACCTGCCCCACCAGCCACCTGCCCGCCCCCTCACCCGAGCGCCCACCTTGAGGCTGTCCTCGGTGTCCGGGCCGTGAGCCCAGGCTGTGGGGTTGCTCAGGACACGGTCGAGGGGGCCCCGCCGGGTCGGGGGTTCAGCAGCACCGGCAGCCCCCACACTGAGTGGCTCACCTCTTGCCCTGAGGGCAGGCCTGGGTCTCGGCCCCCCAGGGAGAAGCCCCCATACCTGCGGGGCAGTGGGCTCAGGGAGGGCGGGGCAGGAAAGCCTCCTAGCGGGTGGGCAGGGGGCGCGGGAACGGCCCTCCTCACCTGACCTCGTTCACCCACTTCTTGGTCTTCAGGCTGCGGGAGATGCGGGGGGGGGGGGGGGGGGCGGCGGCCCCCCCACGGAGAGCCGTCCGGAGCGCCGGCCCCCTCCTCTGGGCAAACTGAACGCGTGCAGGTGGCGGCTGGCCCCTGGCGCACCAGGCGGGGGTGGGTCTTGACCAGGAAGTCGGGACAGGTTCCGACCCGTCAGGAGGCGCGAGGAGACTGAGCACCGGGACCGGGCCCACAAAGAGGACAGGCAGAACCATCTGCAGGACGGGCCCAGCAGCTGCCCTCCCTGCGCACCCCCTGGGCTGCCCGGGACCCTTCCTGCTCCTGCTCTACAACCATCCGTGGCTCCCCGGTGCTCTCAGTAAAGGTGCTCAGACTGGGGGAGACTTCTCGGGTTCACCGCTGAGTGGGTGACGGGAGTAGAAAACAGGCACCCAGGGCTGCCCGCGCGCCCTCCTCTGGCGCCCGCTCCCCCTCACCTGCGTAAACGGGCCACGGCGGCCACGGCGGCCACGGCAGGCAAGCAGAAAGCGCTTGAGAAGCAGGGCCCGGAGCTGCTGGCGGGTCAGCGCCCAGCCCTGTCCCCGGCCCGCGGGGTCTGGCCCGAAGCCCTGCAGGACCCGTGTTTCCGGGGCAGACGCCGCTGAGGGGGATGGAAGGGTCAGTGCGCAGGCTCCGGGGGACAGGGAGGGACCGCAGACTCGAGGCGGGACAACTCACCTAGCTCCCCGTTCTCCAGGGCCGACTCTTCCGGCAGAACCTTGAGCCGTGAGGTCACGTCTGGGGGAGCGAGGCCCGCGTCCAGGTGCCGCTTGTGGCTGGTGATCTGTGGGGCCATCAGGGGTGCGTTCAGGTTTGAGGGTCCCCGTTCAGCCGAGGGTCTGACAAAGGTCCTGGGTTGCAGACAGAGGCGGTCGGGAATCAGGGGTGGAGGTCGAGGCTGCGCCTTGAGATGCAACCAAGGCTGGGGCCTCGCCGTAAAGTCAAGTCTAACTCCGAATCAAGGCGCGGGGTCAAGGACAGGGACCTGTGGCCGCGTCCTCTGGGTCCACGTCTGCAGCGCAAGCCTCTACCACCTTCGGGAAGACCTGGGGAGACAGAGCGGGGGCTCAGCCCGGGACCCCACAGGAGTCGCCCGCGCCCAAGACGCCGTGGGGCCCTCTGCGTGTGCCCTGCCTCCTCCCCGGGGTGTGCTGCTGGGGGAGACCCGTAGGGCAACTCCTTCACCAGTCGCGCCCCGGGCACCAGGCACCGCACGAGCGACAGCAGGTGGGCGGGACCTGGGTGGACGGGGGCGCGTCAACCGGGGACGCAGCCGGCTGTCCTCGGGGAAGGGGCTGGAGTGACCCACGGGAACCTGTCTCTGCAGGCAGAGCAGGTTAGGGTTAAGCACCGGAGGGCAAGAGGTGACCGGAGATCGGGCCCGCAGTTCACATGGGGTCAGGGGTCCGGGCTGGAGTTACGGAGCCTGTTGCCCTGAGTCAAGCCCCCCACTGGCCCTTCCCTCAGGCTCTCCCAGCCCGTTCCCGCCAGCCGCGCTGCCCTGTTTGGCATCCAACTCCTATTCATCCCTCAAAACCCCACTCCAAGCACTTCTTCGTGAGAAACATTTTCTGGCCGCTGAATCGGAATCTAGGGGAACCTCGTGCCTCCCCCAACTCCTACCTTCTCGGTATTTGAGCAGCAGCTCCCAGATGCTGCAGCGGGAAGCAGGGTCGACACCAGCCGTGGGTTCATCCAGAATGACAACCTGGGAGCCGCCCACAAAGGCGATGGCCACTGAAAGCTTCTGCCGTGTCCCACCTGGGCAGAGGCAGGTGCGGGGGTCCCAGCACCGTCCCCTCAGTCTTGGGCAGGGCTGCGTCCCTTCCCCGCGCCCCCTTTCCCCACCCCCTGGATCTCCGTGCCTAGCCCCTCTGGGCCTCCCGGATCCGGTGTCTCCTTTGGCCTCGCACGGCCCTTGGGGTAAAGTCCCAACCCCCTTCCCAGCACCATTTCCACCGACCCGGATGCTCCTCCCCGGCTGGGCTCACCAGAGAGGCGGCGGGTCTGCGCACAACGCGTGGGGACAAGCCCCACGTCCTGCGGTGGACGGGCCTCCTCGGGGCTCACAGCTCCTGCACTCAGGCCCTCCGACCGCCCAGATGCGCTCCTCCAAGGTCAGCCTGCAGCCACGCGCTGGAACAACGGCCCCCCTGGCAGGCAGAGCCCCAAGAACACCCAGCCCCGCCACCCCTGACGCTGCACCCCCGGGCCCGCCGAGACGCACGTCAGACAGCACGTTGTATTGCGGGCAGGCGCCCAGGTGGGACCGGACGGCTTCCATTCTGGACTGGACATCGTGGCCCAGGATGCGGGCAGAGCCACCAGTGGGTGGAAAGAGGCCACACGGTAGGGACCTGGGGGTGAAGGGGTCTCAGAGCAGCTGCCCCTTCAGAGGAGGAAACGGAGACCCCCAGAGAAGGAGCAAAAGCACTTAAAAGGCACCTACTGTGTGCCCAGACTCAAGGTGTGTTATGTCCCCGTTCTATAAAGGAGGAAAACTGAGGCTCAGAGAACACGGTTGTCTATCCGCCATGTACCCCAAGTGGATTGGGGGTCGTCCCGACTTCCCTGTGGAGACCCCAGACACCTCTCCCATTGAGCAGATGTGCCAGCTGAGGCCGGGGGGAAATTAGGACAGTGGCAACCGCCCACAGCACGGTGGCCTTGCCGTCTCCGTTGTGGCCCAGCAAGGTGGTGATCTGGCCCTGGCCGAAGTCCCGGCTGAGCCCACGCAGGGCTGGCTGGGGGTTGCCAGGAAAGCGTTTCTCCAGGCCCCGTACGGAGACCCCAGGAATCCAGCCGGGTGGGACCTCTTCTGTCGGCACCGCGGGAGGAGGGCAGGCTCGACCACGGGAGCCCTTTGTAGGGGGGGGGCTCTGCGGGACCCGGGAGGCCGCAAACGCTGGCCCGTGGAGTCAGGGACCCATCAGGGCTGGGGCCTGTGGGCATTAGGGGAGCCCCACGGAGCCTGGGGGGGTGGAGGTGTGCAGAGGACCGGGCTCTGTAGGAACCTGGGTCTTTGGGGGACATGGGGCATACAGACAGGGAAGCGGCCATCAGGTCTCCTCGTGCCTCACCCTCTGGGTCCTTCGGGGTGGGAGGCGGGGTGGAGCCCTTGGGAGAACAAGGCCCAAACCCATAGCTTCTCCGAAAGGGAAAGTTCCACGGTTTGGGGATCCCATACTGGCCTGGGAGGAGCGGTGCTCTGTTAACCCCTTGAGCTCATCACCCTGGGGTGTGCCAGCTTCTGACCACGTGCCCGGGATCAGGGCATCCAGGTGGGAGGGCCCGGCCTGCCTCAGGCCGTCCCTCGAACGCAGCCACCCGGGCCTAGATGCCAGGAAGAGCCGCCCAGGACGGCCTCCAGGCACCAAGCGGCCCCTCAGCCCTGCCCCGGCTCGCCAAGAGCCTCAGTCCGGCCACCCTTCTGCAGGTACGCCCCTGCCCTGTGTCCCTACCCCACCTGGGAGATGGCCTCTAGGTACCAAGTGGCGAGGCCATAGAGCACAGTGTCGAGCAGCAGGATTCCAGAGACCTGGGCCCGGCTGAAGACGCCAGGGGTGGGCCCGGTGCCCGCCCTGTGCCACTGGGCGCCTTCACCCTGCTCCTTCGGCAGCGCCAGGCTCTCGCAGCCGAACCCAGAGGCCACAGGCGACAGAAGACTGCGGTGGGGACAGGGGCGTCAGCGAGCAAACGCAGCGCAGGGCCCCCCCCCCCCCCCGCACCCGGCCACCCCGGGTCTCACCACAGCCAGAGACCACCCACAGGCAGCCGGTCTCGCCAGGCCACGCACAGCACGTAGGGCGGACAGAGCACGAAGTAGGCCAGGCCTGGCACGCCGCCGCCAGGTTGGCGCGCGGGAAGCGGGCGCTCAGAAGGAAGCTCTGGACCACGGCGGCCACGGCGAAAGCCGCCAAGAACAAGAAGACCACGGCCGGGTAGCTATGGGGGAGGAGGTCCCCGAGCTGCGAAGGGCGAATACGGCTCCTCAGGCTCCGGGATTTGCCCAGGGGCCCGCGCGCGCGCGCGCGCAGCCACCCCGCAGCCGGGAAGGCCGAGGCGTGCGCACCTTGGGCACCAGCACGAGCAGCGCCGTGCTGCCAAGGAAGGGCGAGTGGCAGCTGAGGAACCAGCCGAGCCACAGCACCGCGCTGCCGAGCCCCAGGGCCTGCATCGTGTGGCGCAGCCTCCTTTCCTTCCCTCGCACCACGGCCTTCACCGCCGGCGCCACGGAGTGGATCCAGGCGTCAGGAAAAGCGGCAGCGACCGGTTCTGTACACGCAGGACCCTGAGGCAGGGGCGCGGCTGCGGTGGAGGCCAGAGGCCCCGAGCAGCCCCCACGGGCACTGGAGATCCAAAGGCGCAGCTGGGCCCCGGATGTCCCCTGACCCCTGTTCCAGCCTTAGGATCCCAGCTGTCCTCACAGGCCGCGTTCTCCCTGCCCCCGGGGACCCCAGCCCCTCCGGGATCCCGGTTCCTCCCGCTACAGGTCACAGGGAGTGGTCCTTCCAAACCAGTGGCTCGCAGCCTCGACCGCATGAATGTTCCAAACGGAGCCCGAGCCGAGATCTGGCGGCGGAAGGGGGGTGGATGCGCAGGGAGGGGGCGCTCACGCGTCATCCGCGTAGCACGGGGAGGGCGTCTGCTGCGGGTAGAGGCCTACACGGGCCTCGGTGCCGCTGAGCCACACCACACATAGCGCAGGTCTGTCAAGGGGTCAGCAGCCGGGCCCGGGTCCCAGAACCTGCATGGGGCACGGTGGTGGGCTGCGGGGAGAGGCCGGGGAGCCCCACGGCCCTGCCCATCACCACCTTAACTCTCAAGCACACGAGTCTGTGCCCGCCTGCATCTCGTCCAGGGAGCGCGAGGTGCTGCCCCTGCCCCGGAAGCCCTGGGCCACGCCCCACGGAGACCCCACACACAGTAGACCCCAATTGGCCCAAGGGGTCCCGGGCTCCACCCATCCCAGGCTCTAGGCAGGGATGGCCCCGCCCACCACGCTCCACCTATTCCTGATCTTATTGGTTCTCGCGAAGGCGTCGATATCCATGCGGATCTTGATGCGCGGGTGACCAGGGCCTGCGAGCTGTGCGGGGTTCCAAAGGTCCCTCGGGCCCCAGAAGACGATGCCGGCCCAGAAGTGGTGCTCCGCTAGCAACTCCAGGGCCCGCGCCATCAGGGCTGCCTCTGAGGGTGCCACCTCCAGCTTGTCCTGGGTCACACACTGAGGAAGGGCCTGGGTGTGGGGCCTGGGTGCCCGGATCCTCCCCTGAACCTCAGGGCCAGGCGGCGCTTCTTCCTCGGGGACACCAGGGCGCGGCCCAGCTCGGCCATCAGATTTCTGCAGGGCCAGGCTGTGGCCCTCCTCAGGCTTTCCTTGGAATGGCGCACTGCTCCAAGTTGGGTCCCCCTCCCTGAGCTCCCCTGGATTCCACAAGCCGCCTGCACACTCGCCCCCACATCCTGGGCAGGGATGATGTGCCCAGGGAGGCCCTGGATGAACCTGCTGTCCTCCGACCTGGCCTAACCTGCCACATGGCCGCATTTGTACTGTCGTTCAAGTAGTTGAAGAGCTGGGGTCCCAGCACACCCCACACCTCCTGGAGGCCCTTCAGTAGAGCCAGCTTCTAGAAGGTCCGGTTCCCCTGTGGCAGGTGGGCACCAAGATAAATGCCAGGCCAGCCCTTTCTCGACCCTCCCCTGCTCTAAGGACCCCTGCCCACCTCTCCTGTTTTGCTCCAGCCCGTGGCTCTGAGCACTGGTGCATTCTGTTCCTCTGCCCGCAATCTGGGAAACTCTAACTTCTTCAAAAACCTGGAGTCCACCACCCATCTCAGGAAGCCTCCGGGGTCAGGGCCCCCCCTCTGGCCTGGCACAGCCTCCCTGGGTTAAGGGAGGGACCCAGGACCACTCCTGCCCTTACCTGGGCCGTGAGCCGCCTGGTGAAGCCACTTTCCCCAGGACTAGCAGCTTCAGGCGCCTCCAGAGGAGGAGGGACAGTGGGTGGGTTTCCAGCGATCCCATCAGCTCAGCACAGGCAGGGCCTGGGATGGGGGCACCGTGAGGCCCTGCCCCCATTCCCACTGCCCCACTTCCCAGACTAGAGGTCAGTCACTCACTCAGGCTGCTGTCGGGCAGGCCCGGGGCGGGCTCCTGCCCCACCAACTCCTTCAGGTGGGTGGCCTCATACCAGTCGAGGGAGGGCCCCCCTGGGACGCCAGGGCCCTTGGCACCGCAGAGGACTTCCGACACGGCCTCCAGGGGCCGGCTAGTCCCCTGAGGTCTCCGCAGCAGCGCCCACAGCTCCACCAGGCCGGGCAGTGCCAGGAGCTGGAGAGGTCACCAAGGATGCCACCCAGCCTCGACCAGGGAAGGACCCTGCCAGGAGCACCTTCTCCCTCGCCCCTTCTGCCCAAGCCCTCCCAGGACCTCCCCATCCGGGCAGCTTCCCCTCTCAGCCTCCCAGCTGGGGTGGAGGGTGAGTGGTCCGCTTACTTCCTGGGCCACGTTCTCTGCTGCCTCCAGGAAGCTCCTCATGGACTCCCGGGCTTGGTCCAGCCCAGACGCCAGGGATTGCTGGGGAGAAAGCCCACAAGGGCGATAATGACCTTGATGGCATTCTCACCGGGGGTGTAGCAGTTTGCAAGCTCCCGAAGATCCCGTTTTACAAATAGGGCAACGGAGGCTCCGAGAGGCACGTGGACTCATGCATGGTCGCACGGGCCGGACACTTCACCACCATGCTGGACACAGCCCATCTGGGCACCCGTCCCTCGTCCCTCCAGGAGCCAGGGACAGCCCAGGAAAAGGCCCGGAAGCCGGAACCAGAGGCCCCTGGCCAGGATGGGGAAGCCCAGAAGGCCACGGTGGGAGCTGAGCAGAGGACACGACAGAGGGTCAGGCTGAGGACCCCCCTGAAGGCAGCATCCCAGAGTCACCTGGTCTCACCCCACCCCATCTCATTTCTCGAAGCAGTGTCCCCAGTAGCTCAGTGGTCAGGGGCAGGTGGTCCCGCAGCCGGTTGCTTGGCTGAGGCCGGGCTGGGAGAGGAACACACAGAAGCACGAGTTTAGGCAAAGCTTGGCCCGAGACAGCTCCCGCCCTGTGCCCGTGACACAGCCGGGCAGGTGGAGGCTCAGAGAGCATCCCTGCCGGCCAAAGGGCCCTGGCCTCCTCACCTGCCCCGCCCGCCGCTCTCAACATTGGCATTAGCTTTCCCAGGCTGGCCAGCATCCTGTGGGCTCTCGTCCCCCACCCCCAAGGATGGTGTGGGCATCTGCCAGGAGCCAGAGGACGCTGGGGGCAGAGAGAGCACCAGGTGGAGGCTCGGCAGACACCCTCGTGCCTGTGGCTGCTGCACCCACCCCCGCTTGCTCACAGGGTGTCCTTGAAGTTGCTGAGGACACCTGGCTGCTCGGCGGGCGCGGATTGCGGGAAGCAGGTGTCGTTCATGCTGCAGATGAGACCCTGGAGCCGGGTAGGGTGCCGGCCGAGGGCAGCGGCTTGTTGGGGAAGTGGCCCGTGGGGACGTTGGGCGTGGGGAGCTTTGCCTGCACCCCCATCGTGTCTGCACCCTCGCGGACAGAGTGCTCACTCAGACTCGCGCTCTCTGACGCTCACGGGACCCTGTGGATAGGGTGACCCAGTGCCTCCCCTCTCCCCCACAAAGGGCCTGGTCCCTGGCCGGGCGGGGGGGGGGGGGCTTACACTCATGTTGCTCCAGTCGGGGGTGGGAGTGGCACCCAGGTTGAAGAAGAGAAACAGAGGCCCCAGCAACTCCACCAAGAGCTGGATCTGGGAGAGGGGCAGAAGAGGCGGGGGAGTGGGGGACCGTGGGGGACACCGGGGCCGCCCCGCCCTGGCCCATTTGCCCTGGCATTACCGGCTGTCTCCTGCGATACAGGACATTTTTCCAAAGCAGCAGCATTAGCTGTGTCCAGAAGGCCATGGTGGGAATGCACAGAGCACACGACGGAGGGTCCGGCTGAGACGCACTGTGTGGCTGCGGGCAACCCCTGGCCCTCCCTGAACCTCGTGCCTCTAGCTCACGGTACAGGGTTCCTGGAAGCTCTGCTTGGAGCCGAACAGCAGGCACTTATTTAAGGGTCCCTTCTGTCCCTGGAGGGGCGGAGCGGGCCAATGGGAGCCCTGCCCGAAGCCGTCCCCGCACCTGATTGGTTGCCTGGGCTGTCGCTCGCTGCAGGGCTGGGGTCCAAAAGGCTATCAACTAATTCCTGAGGGGGAGGAGCCTCGGCTTGACTCGTCACGACTCCACTTTGAGCCCCTTTGGGGGCTGCCAGGTCCTGGCCCCCAGCCTCATCCCGCGTCCTGGGAAAGATCCCCGCCCCCCAGCCCCAGCTCTAACGCAATGATAACAGCAAAGTGTTCACCGTGCTGAGCATTTTACACACCAGGCCCCCAGAGACAGGCAGAGCCACCCCGCGGGAGCAGGGCCCCAGCTCCACCCACCCCTCGTGTATCATTTATCGTTAAGAACCACAAGACGCAGAGAAAGAGTAAGGCGGAGAGGCAGCGCTGCGGCTCCTGGAACCAGCAATTCCTGATCCCCGCTTTGGTTACAAGTGTCCAGCTCTGGCCTACTTCATTATTGTGCTGCCGGGGGGCAGGGCGTTGCCACAGGCCCCGGTCGAGGCTGGAACTAGGACCCGGGACCCCCGACCCCCCACTGGAGGACTCTACATCGGGTGGGAGCTGGGGTGGGGGAAGCCTCCGTTTTTCCAGCGGGGCAGAGGGCTTGTCGGAGTTCTAACGCGGAGAGGGGCTGCAGGTGTCTGTCGGCAAGTACCCGTCAGGTGAGTCCAATGCCCTGCAGAATTAGTGCCCGGTTCTGCCACCCCTCGCCGCTCACACCCATCGGGGGCGGGGCGGGGGGGGGGGGAGGTGAGTGTGGACTCCGCCCTCACCCCCTAATTCCCAGGGAACCTGCCTCCCTCCCATCCATCCGCACCCCGGGACCCTCTCACCTTTCCAGCCCTCATCTCTGGCCGCCTTCCCTGCGCCCGACAGGAGCCCGGGGTCGCGGTCCCTTTAAGAGGCGTCTCCCGCAGCGAGCCCTAAACCCCAGCAGTTCACCTCCAGGGCCTGGGAAGCCCGCGGCCGCGCCCGGCCCCGCCCCCGCCCCCTACTATTGGCTGCCATCCCTGCCACTCACAGGCCGGGCCCGCCCGATCCACGCGCGCCGTGGAAGGAGGCCGCGCAGAGCCGGGTTTCTTAAAGGGGCCTTTCTCCTCTTGCTGCGTCGCCTTGGGGCGCTGGGTCGCCGGTTCACCCCGCGCTGGCCGACCCCCCGGCAGGCCGGCCGGGCTGTCTCCCCACATTGCGTACCCGCCTGCAGTGCAGCAGCTCCCCGTCTTACGAGGTCCCTTTCTCCCCACTCTATTCTGGGGGACCCCGGCCTAGCCAGACTCGCTTCGTGACCCTGGGACTCCACTTGTCCACCCACAAGGTGGGGGTTCCATTGGTCATCATTTGTCAATCCCACAAACATTCCTTTGGTCCCTACAGTGGGCCCGGCCATGGTGGAAGGGGGAAGGGGGGGGGCCAGCATTCCAAGATTAGAGTCCTGGGTCATAACGGTCACTGCATTTTGAGGAATACCTCCGAATCCCTTTCTAGAAGACTGGGTAGATTTCCCAAGACCATGGTGAAGACGAAGCACGTGTATGGACCCCACAGCTCTGAAGGCACTGACCGGGGAGCAAGCAGATATACTGGGAGGGTCCCTGAGAAAAGGGAGGTGGGCTTGGCGTTGGGGCTTTGAGGATGTGTAGGAGTTTGCCGCTTCCGGAACTGTGGGCCTAGTGAACAGCCCGAGCAACCCCTGGGGGCTGCAGGTGGAGCTGTCTGTGGGCTGGGACACGGGGTTGCGGGGCTCACCTTTCTAGCCAGCAGGCAGGCCCGCCCGCCTCTTTCCGCCACGCAGGTCCTGACCCGCAAAGCACTTTTTCGACCCACACTCACCTGCGCCCTGGGCCTCCGCTCTTAGCTCCGCCGCGCAGCCCTGAGGACCTCCTTAGATGCTGGTCCAGTGCCCACCCCCAGGGCCCCCCGCCACACCCCCACCCCCACCCCCAGGTTGCCGCAGACTCCCAACTCTCCCAGTAGTTTCTTCCTAAAAAGAGGTTTTTATTGCCTTTGGTCCACAGTTGACATTTCACATTATCTCTTGGTTCCAGGGCTCCTGGATGGGGGCCAGTCCCCAGGGAGGACCTCCGGGTGGGGATCCCTGTGCAGTACTTGGCAGAGGAATGGGGACAAGTAGAGGAAGGGTGGGGGGCGGGCCTGGCTTTGTGTCAACCAGGCAGAACTCTGTTGTCCTGCCTGGGCCTCAGTTTCTCCGCTAGGCCCTGGGGGGGGGGGGGGGGGCGGGCTACGGGTGACTGTCTGAGACTGCTAGGTCCTCACAAGACCTAAAATACTTGGGGACTGTGGCCCTGCCCTCTCCCAGGGGACCTGCTTCCTTCTCGGAGGCATCTCCTTCCACCATCTCCAAACCCCGCCCCCCACTCCCCTGCAAAAAATATTATTTTTCTTTCATTAAAACTGCCCGAAGCTTCTGTGGGCACAGAAACCACAAACTGATCGGCAGAGAAAAGGGAAGAGAGAGAAAGGCGACCGGAAACCATACGGGGCAGGGCCCCTCCCTGCCCAGGTTTCTTCCCCCAACACCTCCACCCCCCAGGCCAGCCCAAAGCCTGCTGGGAAACTCGCTGGCGGGAGGTGCTGCGGCGGACGCCCCGCCCACCGATCTACCTCCGCCCCTTCCCCACAGACAAGCAGAAACACAAGACAAAACAGAAAAACGCGAGAAGCAGACAGGGTGATGTGGGGAGGCGCCCCGCTCCGGCGGCTCAGTGGCCCGCCTCCTCCTGGCGGTAGGGGGCGTATTCCGGGGCCTCCGCTGGGCCGTCGCCTGCAGCCACCGCACCCCCATCGGCCGCCGGGCCCTGCGGGCAGTACTTGGCGTCATAGATCTGCCGGCCCAGGCCGAACACCTGGCCGCTCTGGTTGGCGCCCTGAGTGTAGCCCATCTGTAGGGACAGGGACGAGTTGTCACACTTGTCGGTCCCCAGCTTGGTGTCGTAGATGTGCCGCCGGGTCCCGGGGGCCGTCATGCCCACCTGCACAGGAGGAGAGACAGCTTGAGGCCGGCGGAGGCGGGCCAACGGAGGCCACATCCACCCCTGACCCCCGGCACCAACTCCATCTGGGTCTGAACCTAGCGCAGGCTCCCGTGGGTCCCCCCCAGCCCTGCCTGGACGCCCTCTCTCGCCCTCTGTGCCGACTGTATGGGCCTGGCTCTCCCTGCCGGCCAGGGAGCTCCCCAGGTGAGGGCCGAGGCGTCCCAAGAACCCAAGACTTCCAAGACCATCGTAGTGGCACATGCCAGGTGGCAGGAAAGTGAGAATCAGCAGATCCGAAGATACCAGGGTTGCACGGAGCCCCTGGGCAATCCTGAGGGGCGGGGGGGGTGGGTGGGTGAGGCACAGGGCCGGCTGGTAACTTCCCCGGGACACACAGCAAGCTGGCAGAGAGGTCGGAGGGAACTCCGGAGCGGGACTCTCAGTGACAGGCACGCATGGGGACAGCCCGGGGAGCCCCACCTGGCTGGCACACTTGTTTGTGCCCATCTGGAGGCTGATGGTTGAGTGGTCCATGGGTGGCAGGATGTGGTTCTTCGGGTCATACAGATGCCTTCTCGTCCCATAAGCTGTCATGCCCGACTGGCTGGCACACTTGTTTGTGCCCATCTGCAGGGAGGCAGGCAGGAGAGGTCAGGTGCCCCTGCCAGGCCTCTAGACCCCGCCCTGAACTTGAGGGGACACGGGGCTCATCGGGCCCAGGTCACATTAGAAGCCCCCACCCCACCGGGGCGGGCCAGGGTCAGAGGCACCGCGAGCCCACCTGGAGCCCAATGACGCACTGGCCCGCCTTCATGGTGGCATCATCAAAGTTGCGTTCCTGTTTCTCTGAGTATTTGACGCCAATGTCCACGCCGCTCTGCAGCCCCTTCGTCTTGGCCTGGAGGGGAGGGGTGTTGGGAGCATCAAAGGGGTGGGGGGCAGCGGAGACCCTTGCACCGGGCCCAGACTGTGCAACTCTGGGAGAGCCACGGGGACGGGCTCCCACCCACCCCACCCACCAGCCACCCAGCGCCTCAGCCACCAGCGGTCTGACAGCTCAGGACAAGGACTCGGGGGGCTGGGGGGCATCCTCACTGCCAACCCCTCCTACCCGACCCGCCAGCAGCTCGCCGGGCAGGGACACCTGCCCCTCGCTCCTTCCTGGTCACTAGACCCCACACGCTGGCCGGATCCTCCTGTGCTCAGGGTGTTTCCCACAACATGTAACGTATTTCTAATCTATCCAGAGTGACTCGGGGATGAACTCTGGCTGACAATGGCGTGTCCGCGGAGCTTCGCGGATTGTGACAAATGTCCCCTGAGGGACAAAGTGCCACCCAATGGGGCGGCCGTGCGCGCGGGGCCAGGAGGCACGCGGCAAATCTCAGCACCTTCCTCTCAACTTTGCTGCGAACCTAAAACTGCTCTCAGATGTAAGGTTGGTTTTTTTATTTTTTAAGTAAAAGATTTGTTCCTCGTCTCCTCCCTTGAGACCGTGAGTCCGTGACTGGGTGGACCGTGCCTGCCTTGTCCAGCACGCAGTCCGAGGTGCCTGGTGCCGTCTCTGAGCCTCACCTTCCCGGCCAGGGCCAGAAGGCACACCTGCACCTGGGTCACGTTCCCGCTCTCAAACAGGTCGTTGGCCTCGAACAGGTCCACGGGGTTCATGCCGTAGCTGACCATGGCCTTGATGAAGTTCGAGAGGTTTTCCAGCTGGGAGAGGGGGGAGAAGGAGCGTGAGGCCACCCGGCCACCACACCACACGTGGTGGGTCAGCTGCCCCCTCCTGCCGCCCGCGGGCGCCTCACCTGGTGCCAGTTCTGCATGGAGCGGTTGATCTTGGGCACAGAGCCCGGCTGAAGCTTATTCATGAGTCTGGGGAGGGGGGATAGGACCCTCTGTTAGCGCACGGGAGCCTCAGAGACCCGAGAAACGAATTGTACTCTTGCCACACTCTTGCCTTCCCAAGCAACCTCGCTCCGGGCCTCAGTTTCCCCGCCTGCGATGTAATCTTCACCCGCAAGGGAGCAGAGGGCCAGAGTGTGGCAACCACTGTCGTGGGGGGCGAGTCTGCGGACCTGCACGCCCAGGGATGTCCGAAGCCACCCGAGCAGGACGCAGGACGCAGGACGCATGGAGGAAGGGCCCAGGAACGCGGAGGCTCCCACCCGAGGGCGGCTGTGAGGTGAGAACGTTGGCTGCCAGAGAGCCGCCCCCGAGCGGCCACGCGAGAAGGCGAAAGACAAGCGGGACCCGAGACCCGCTGCGCTGCGGGGAAAGCCAGCCCTGGGACCGTGTGACCTCGAAGCGCACACCGTCAGGGCCACCGGCACCTGCCCACACCGCACTCACGTGCACAAGACAACGCCGTCCTTGAGACCCTTCTGGAAGTCGGGCCCAATCGAGAGGCCGGTGAGTCCCTCGATCCAGCTACGGAGCTCGGCCTCCTTCTGGGGGTCATATTTGGACAGGAGCTGGGTGAGCAGAGGACACGGGGT